CCAGGTTTTGTGGGCGCTGGTAGAGATTATTCTTGTTAGTATGTGGTGGTGGGTTGGTTGTTTGGAGGGGTAGTGTTTGGGTGCGGGGATGATGATGATGATGATGTGATTGATGGGTTAGTGTAAACGTACTGGATGATGTCTCCGAGGAGGAGGACCTTGGGTTTGGGGTCGCTGGAGCCCATTGTTCTTTTGTTTGTGTAACTGACTGATTATGGGTTTTCGTTAGAGAGTAGAGGGGAGGAAGGTAAGTGAGAGAAGTATTGGAGAGAGGTAAATGTCGTGGGGGTTGCCGAAGATAGATCCTCGGGCGGTTATATACCGAGTGGGGGTGGGACTCCACGAGGAGATTACTATTTGGGGAACGGGAATTGGCTTACAGTGTTTGGATTACTGAGAGAAGAGGACTGCGAGTAAATGCCAGATAGGAAAGAAAGAATTAGAGAAGACTTGAAGGATAACAGTCTATACAGAACAGAGATAGGGAAATAACCCCCACGGCCCCGCTCCCGTTATCGAGTTGACACTTCGGCTTCATCTCCGGTTGGTGCGATGTAGAGTATATAGAGACATCAATGGCTATAGTTAAGTATGACTGAGTGAGTCATACGAAGCGCCCTCATTATACAGACTAACTAAGTAACAAACTCCACCAGAATTTAGGGTGCGCCCTCCACCAACACGCGTGTCCAGTCGAACTTCCTCCATCGCTTCTGAAAGCCAGCCACCCGCCGATCTCCACCGCGATGCCAGCGTCCCTGCCGCTTAATCACATCCGGCGCCAGATCCAGCATTCCTCCGATGACTTCTCGGGCGAAAAGATCCCCCCGAGGCCAGCGGTTCTCATCCTCCACCACATGGCCCAGTCCGCCGTCTAGCTCAAACCATACATGGAAGTAGGGCATTTCCCGCGCAATCGACCGCCGGAATGCACTCCGTCCCATACCTTGCTTGGACTTGGCTAGGGTGTCGATCAGCTTGCGGTGCTGGGACCACTCTGCGTCCGAGGAGAGGATGGCTTCCTTGAAGAAGGCCGGAGATGTCTCTCCGAGACTGTAGGGCAGAGGGACCACTTCCATGGCTGCATGTCGCTTGCGATGCGGCTGAGCTGCGTTCTCGTAGAAGATCACGTCGCGACCCTGGTCATGATACATGCGGGTTAGACTCTTCATGAAGTTTCGGATTTCTTCCCATTCATCGTCATCGCACTCGAGTAGGTTCGTGCGGTGCTGGATGGGAACAATGGTGGCACAGCCCTCGTTGAGCTCGGGCTCCGTGGGAAGAGTGAGGAATACCCGCGTTGCTAATGCCACTACGGGTGCAACGGGCGGCGTATTCGTGTCCTCGTGGTGGCAGAGAGGACAGTTGTCGAGGATGCGGTTCATCTTTTGCAGCTCGTTGATGGTGATGTTCTTGATGTCGATCTCGGATCGGTGCACACGTTTGGCCAGCTTGGAGGCATTGTCGTCCATGTATTCCAGGTCATTCTGTCTACGTTAGCATTGTATTCGTGAGTATTTTGGTAATGTACTCACCTCAAATTTCGAGTCTTTGGCAATTCGCTCCGCCATCCGTCGACCGTCGCCTCCAAATTGCCCCCGGGTGCGACGCTCTTCCTGAACCATGTCCTCAATTGTCATTTCGTCGTTTTCCTCTACCTTGCCACGTTCACGGCCGCGCCGGTTTTCAACCGCCTTCACTTCGTTCCGAGTGCCCGCCAGCATCCGGTTCTCCATGACGCCCAGAACAACCACATCGGATTCTTTCCGGTTTGACATGGCAGCTGCGGCTGCATTATAGCGCTCTTCGAGCTCTGCTGCATCTGGCGCGCGCTTGAGCTTGGCTTTCATCATTTGAGCCTTCAATCGGTTGAGTGCCGTCAGATCCAGATGTTGTGTCGTGTTTGGTGGTGGCACAGTTTCCATTGTCTTGCCTTGACCCTGGGCATCAAGTTCCTTGCCTGGGCTGCGAAGATTTTCATGGGAATCGCGGTGGACATTCTCCTCCAGCTTTCTCTCCTGGAAAAGTTCACCCGTAGGCTTCTCCTTGCCCACGTAACCTTCACCGTACCGTTCGCGGCGGTCCAGTTCTGCTTCTTCCTCCCGTGCATCATCAAACGATCGTAGGTCTCCAAACCGGTTCAAGGCGACCTCCTCGACCGATTTGCCAGTCTCTTCTGCCTCCCGATAAACGGCCTTGAGCCTAGTCATTCTCCACTGAGCACCGTCATCACCAAACGTATAGTCCACCTCATGCTGCGCTGGTTGTTCTTCAATCTCCTCCAGCACTTTGCCCTCCTTCAAATCGTGTAAATGGGTGTTGAGCTCCTTGCCGTGGATCTTAAGCTCAAAGTCTGCCTGCAGCATCTTCGGCTTTGGTTCCTCTTCCAAGCGCGTCGTATTGCGTCGCTGAACGTAGTCGACATCGAGTCCATCCGGCTGCATCCAGGCATCTCTCTTCATGCGCGTAGGCTCTTCCTGTACGACTTCCTCCGCCGGGGCAGGCGCGTCCGTCTCATCTCTGCTGTCGCGGTGTCGGCGCTTGTGTGCATGATCACGATCATCTCCATGGTCGGTCGAGTGGCGCGATCGCTTATGACGATTTCCGTCGTCTTCGCTACGCCGCGAATCCCGGCGTCTCTCATGGTCGCGCTCTCTCGACCTGGACGAGCGGTGACGGCGGTGGTGGTGTCTGCGCTCTCGGCTGCGGTCACGGTCACGGTCACGGTCACGATCACGGTCGCGGTGATGGCGATGCCGACTCCTGTCGCTCTGCTCACGTCTTTGTTCCTGCTCCTCCGCTAGCGATTTTTCGAAATCCTCGAGTGTCATTGTGATGGTTGAGCTGCTGAGGAAAGAGAAATGAGGAAGAAGCGAAGAAAAGGCTGCGGACGGAATGACGTCTGGGCGGTCCAGACTCCACCGGAGCCGATCTCTCCATCCCCGCGACGCAACATTTTCCTTTTTCTTCGGCTCCCCGCTTCACTTGTTCGCCCTCAACACCATCCTATCCGGACTTGTCTGAAGCTTTTAGCTTGTCGAGCTTCACATAAATCACTGTTGAGCTTGATAGCTTTGCCGTTACAATTCTTTCATCATGACGCAATCACCGGTGGCCGTCGTCTGCGTCGGCATGGCAGGTATGTCGATACTGCTCTCCCATCTCAATTTCATCTTCTGACGAGCTCTCTTACCTAGGCTCCGGAAAGACGACTTTCATGCAGAGAATTAACTCGCATCTCCACTCGAAGAAGAAGGTTCCCTACGTGCTGAACCTGGACCCCGCCGTCTACTCCGTTCCCTTCGAGAGCAACATTGACATCCGCGACTCCATCAACTACAGAGAAGTCATGAAGCAGTACAACCTCGGCCCCAACGGCGGCATTCTCACCTCCCTCAACTTATTCGCTACGAAGGTCGACCAGATCATCGCCCTGTTGGAGAAGCGCACCGCTCCGAACCCGAGCAACCCCTCCGCCAAGCCCATTGAGCACATCCTCGTCGACACTCCTGGACAGATTGAGGTGTTCGTATGGAGTGCATCTGGAAGCATTCTCCTCGAGACCCTGGCATCTTCCTTCCCTACCGTCATCGCCTATGTCATTGATACCCCCCGCACCAGCTCCACCAGCACATTCATGAGCAACATGCTCTACGCCTGCAGTATCTTGTACAAGACCAAGCTGCCGATGATCCTTGTCTTCAACAAGACCGACGTGCAGGATGCCGAGTTTGCCAAGGAATGGATGTCCGACTTCGATGCGTTCCAGCAGGCGCTGCGGGAAGAAGAAGAGTCGGGTGCGTTTGGTGCAGAGGGTGGAGCCGGTGGCTTCGGCGCTGGAAGTGGATACATGGGATCGCTACTGAACAGCATGAGCTTGATGCTGGAGGAGTTTTACCGTCACTTGAACGTCGTTGGTGTGAGTTCCATGACGGGTGATGGTATTGATGAGTTTTTCGCTGCCGTGGAAGAGAAGCGCCAGGAGTTCGAGCGTGACTACAAGCCGGAGCTGGAGCGCAAGAAGAAGGAACGCGAGGAGACCAAGGCTGCCCAACGGGAGTTGGAGCTGGGCAAGCTGATGAAGGATATGAGCGTCTCCAGCTCTAGTCGTCAGCGCAAGGACGAAGCCGAGACCGTCAGTGAAGCGGAAGAAGAGGCAGAAGATTCGGCTGGCCAGGGAGGGTTCGACGACGATGACGATTCCGATGAAGATGGATATGGCGGTGCTCCCCCAGCGGGTAACGATGAGGGACTCTCACAGCGGTACAAGGATGCGCTGGCAGATCAGAGCGCTCCTTCGGATGCGGATCACAGTTTCGCCAGATACCTGCGCAAGAGCAACATTAACTAGGAAGGAAATGATCTCGCGGGACATGCATTTTGACTCTACATATATCGGTGTACGAAGGCGTTGATATTGGCTTATCATCATGAATAAATGATTAGAATTTAATTCAAAAGCATACTCTTCGACTGACCAGTTCTCAATGGAGTTCGTAGAATGGCCAAGTCCATAGTTAGATGTGACTGATAATCATTCCAAATCCATGTAGCTAAAATAAATTCCATTCCCAGGCCAATAGGCTCAAAGACAGTCTAATGACGTGGAACTGCATATCATCGCAGATTAAGTAGCCTTAAGATCTTGGCTCTACCGTTGCCGAACGGGACACCAACATCGTTCACGAGACCAGTCAGTCAGAACACCATCACACAGCCAACACTTTCAATCCATTCCACATCGCAATAATCCCTGCATTCAATCAAACCCGGATTGAATAATAAAGCAACGGTGCCTGGATTGCTGCGCTGGATGAGTCAGCCGTAGATCTGCCAACTGGGAATGAATGACATCATGGGCGCTTGAGCTAGCAATGACCTCACGAGCTCTACCTTATAAGACAGGTATCGCTCGGCAGTTCTCAGCTACTTCTTCAATTGTTGGTTCCTTTACTCAATTTCAATTTAACGTTAATACTTACAATTTATCACGAACCACAATCAGAACCATATCAGATCTACAACCATGGACGTAAGCTAAACCATCCCCCTACAACCCTCCAACCACTTCATAGGCTAACGCCATGAACAAAAGGTATTCTACGCCTACACTTACTCAACAGCGGGCTGGCTCTCCCTCCAGAGCGTCGCTCTAATCGCCGTGCCCGAAATGATGACCACAATGCTGGAACAAGAAAGCAGACAGCCATCCTGTACCTACCCTCCCCTTCACATATCACCACTCCCAGTAAGCCAAACTAACATCATCACAGCAATTGAAACCTACCTCTCTCGCTGCCTGGGCATGAGCCTCCTCACAATCGCCATCCTAACCGTCATGCTGACCGGCTCCATCCCCCTCACGGCGTCCATCACCGATCCCGTCACAACCGATGACTCTGATCCCAAGGCGCCCTACGCGGTGCCGACGATGCAAGTGACCACCATCTTCCACTTTATTTCGGCCGGGTATGCGTACGCCTGGTTCGCGGATAAGGGCCAATTGGCGTTTGGGGTCGGGATGGTGGTGTCCGGGGCGCTTGCTTCGTTGGGAATCTGGTGTGCGCTTTTTGCCAGCAGTAATGGGAAGATTAGTCGGAAGACCGGGGCGGATAAGAGGACCACGGGGTTTCCCTTCAAGAATAGGGAGGCGGAGAAGAAGCATGGGAAGGGGTTGTAAGGGTTTTTGATGTGGGTTGATTGGTTACGGATGGTGTTATTTAGGTGGTGTTGATGGTGATTTAGATGGTTGGAGATGCGGTTAGAGATGGGGAGATGTTTACTGTACTTATTAACTGCATAGTGCTAACATTGCACCAAATGAATAAAACGAACAAAGATTGGTGTGATTGATTGATCAGCTTTGCAGGTAAAAGGACTTTATCAGTAGTCATCTGGGTATAGGTAGGATGTACGTAGCCTTAGCTTGACGCCGAGCCATGCACTTAACACGATAAAAGTAGGGACGCGTACATACCCAATCCCCCTCACCAACCAAATCCCGAACATCAGATACGTCTAACAAAGTCCGCATCCTATCAACGGGGCATTCCAGCTCTGATATACCCTCCAGAGTTATAATAATGTTCACGCTAAACCCAATCGGCATGAGAATTAGAGGCATATGATTGGCCCACTCGCTAATGACATCATAGGGGCCATACGCTATACCCGTTTTGAGATGGTGCGATATCTATACCTCAGAATAGATCTTTCGATAGGGTTTGTTTTCACGATGAGAATTAGAGGAATTGGGTGATGGGAGGGTATAAAGAGGTGAGCAGGAGAGGTAGGATAGATGGAGAGAAGCAGGGTTTTATTCTTTCGTCCTTCAACTATTGTCCTTCTTTCTCTACCTATACATCTGTCTGGATTCAGTGTGCAGTCGCTCGTTACGTTTTTTCTATCTATATCGCTACTGCTACTTCTATACCTCTGAGAGGGTTATACTTCAACTGGAATATTTCCATATTTATTAAAATACGACTATATACGTACTATCACAAAACAGTGAGTCTCCCACGCACTCACCCTAAACACTGGCAATCTCTAACCCTCACCTTTGACAGTTCCCACTACTATCTGCCTCGTGCACCACCACCTCTCCCTCCCACACAAAAAATCAACCAAAATGGTCTACATCGCCAAGGAAGCCATCATCTTCTTCGTCATCCTCGGCTGTGTGGTAGTCTCTGTCTTCGGATACTCTATCCATTACCTTGCGACCAATGGGTTCTACAGTGAGGAGAGGAATCTTGACTTCCCTCCTGAGCAGAGGATATACATGCGCCAATTACGACTAAGGGATTTGCATTGGATGGCGAGAGATAATGGCATCAAGATTGCGAGTAATACGTCGCCGGTGTAGGGTTTATGGACTGGTCTTTCCTTTCTCGGGTTATGGTTATGTGTGATGGGACATTGATGGAGTTTTATGTTGGGGTTAGGGCTATACTTGTTGCTTGTTTGGTTTGTATTGGGTTTTGGAATAGAAATGCATGTTTGTTTTAGGATATAGCTGGATGTCTGCATGAAGGGTATCTTCTTTCTATGATAATGTTCATCTGTGTCTTTATTTGAGATTTATCAATGTGATTCTCACATGAGATACTCTTGATAAACATCTTGTTTCGATTCTATATACAGTCCTTGGTTCTAGATGATATATTTCGAGTATATTATATGATAATCATCAGTATATCGATACCAACGTAAGTAAATGCGGTCTGCTCATCTCACCAGAAAGGTCTAGTAGCAGTCTTTGCAACTATAACCACTGCTCCCAGCTTGCTAGATAACGCACAAGCTAACCATAATGACAGCCAATCAACCCATGCTAACACGCAGAACACCATGTGATGGACGAGCATATGCCGCTAGCCGAATATGATGCTCGGCCGCCACAGCCCCTCTACATCTGGACCCCTTTCCCTCCTTGTGATAGTAGTCACCAATATCATATACTAAACTAAACCACCCACACACAACCAACCCCAATCACCCATGGAGTCAAATTCCACCCAGCGAGTCTCTCCCTTCCCACCCACTCCCCCGACCCGCGCACCATGGGTCGACGAAATCCATGGCAAGAGCTACTTCTTTATAGACAAGCCGATGTTCGAGGACCTCATATCTCAGAGTGCCTTCGTGGAACATGCCACCTTCAGTGGGGACCAGTATGTGACGAGCAAAAGAACAATCTCGGATCAAATAGAGAAAGGACCCGTGGTCGTGCTAGACATCGAGATGAATGGTGTGAGACAGATGAAGGCAAATCCTAGTATCGATGCTCGTTATGTTTTTATTTGAGCCACCGAGCTTTGAGGCGCTCGAGGTACGGCTTCGGGGGCGAGTAGGGAGTTGGAAGGGTTTGTGTTGCGGGTAGGTGCGCTTAGTTTGTGTTCTGTTGGCTTCGTTGATATGTTCTATGGGATAGAGAGAGGTAGACAGACATGATATACTGCAGTGTGTTGCTAGCCACGCAAGCCTGCCTTCCAAGTCCTTAGCTATTCCTACGAAGTCAATACAATTGAAGAGGCCTTGGCCGGATTCCATCATTACTAACCCTCTCAGCACCCATACCCCCTTTGTAAGAACCAAAAGAACCAGCAAACAGATGCAATAATCTCATATCTCATGCTCATAACTCATGCATACACCCTCACTCCCCAAATCACAAATCACAAGCGTAAAAGAGAGAAAAGAAACCACCAACTCCCCAAACACCACCGCTATACCCACACAATGCAAGAATCACCCTCAAAACAACTTCTCCTCAACATCCCTCTCATCAAACGGATCTCCGAATTCATCTATACCATCCAATGATTAGCACATCCCAACCTAAACCTTACCAACTCAGCCATGGAAGACCTTATATCAACAACATACCCAGATTGAAATCATGATCAACCACGAACTCCATCGCGCGCTGATACTCCTCCTCTGCCCTTTTATTCATCCACGCCGCGCCCGGCGCATCCATCTGCTGTGCCTGCTGTTGCTGTTGCTGTACCTGCTGAGTTGTCTGCGTCGCGAGCGGAGAGTCAATTAGGCTCTGGTTAAAGGCCATCTGTCCCTGGGTGTTCAGAGTAGCGGTTTGTGTTTGAGAGCCGGGCGGGGAGAGTTCTGAGCCGCCGAAGGGAGGAGGACGCGGGTTGGTGAGCTTGTTGGTTGGGGTGCGGGTACCCGGGTGAGAGTCTTCGGAGAGGCCGTGGGATGATTCCGGGGAGGAGGCCATTTGAGAGTCGCCGTCTGGGTCTGTGATGGTTGGTTAATGAGGTGTGTGGGTGGTGGGGGAGACAGGTGGAGGTTGGTTGTATGTGATGGCAGCGGGGAACTGTGTGGAGGAGCTGGTATGAGCACAAACCGGTAGCCATGATATACGATTCTATCAAGTAGGTAATGTAAGCCAATCAATCAAGCAATAGCTGCAATAGAAAACAACAAAGCGAGACAATTCGTTGATGTGCAGTTGAGATGGAAATGTAGGATCGGGGATAAGTTGAGGTCGGCGATCTTAACTAAGCACAAGGCGGCAACCGCCATTTTCCTCCGCTTTTCTGAACTCCTCTTCCAACTAGACGATTTTCTTCCCCTCGTCTTACTTACCCTTCGGTCTTTCTCTCCTTCAAACTAAGCCACCCGGCTAATACATTGGACTTGTTCTTTTTGGTTTACTTACTAGACCCCACTGACTCTGGGTCACGTCGTTCACTTGTTCAGAACCTGTTTTACGCGCTATAGCGATATATCCCTTGGCCATGAGCGCAAAGCCCTCAAGTGGCCCCGACGCCTGGGAGGAGGACTGGGAGAGTCAAGCTGATGTATGTGCACCACTACCTCTGCATGCCGCTGTGCGACTATCTCAATCCCCTGGCTAATCGCTCTCATAGTCGTTCGCTGCAGAATCCGCCCCGCCTCCGCAGGAGAAGAAAGTCTCCTCGAAAGTCACCAAGGCCCAGCGCCGAGCCCAACAGGCCGAATTTAACCGCCAGCTATGGGCCGAGGCGTATGTATACCACATTATGACTATGCGGGATGTTGCCTGACCGTTTCCCGCTACAGAGAATCACCTCAGACGTTTCACTATCTAGAGGCGCGGTCGAATGTCCCGCTCAAGCAGGAATTCAAACCCACCGTCACTGTTCTCAGTCGCAACCCACAAATAGCTACGCGACAATCATCTTCTGTAGACGCTGCCAGCGCCGGTATGAGAAGATTGGGGTTGAACGAGGATGACGACTCTGATGAGGATAGGCCGCCTCAGCCCACACCTGAGGAGCGGCAGGCTATTGCGCTGCGCAATCTGGAAGAGAAGCAACGCAAATATGAAGAAGTCCGGGAGAGGCTGTTCGGTAGCCCGTCTGCCCCTACTTCCGGCGCGTCGTCGCCACGCAGTGCTACCCCGCCTAAACAACACGAGGGCCGAGGCAAAGGGAGAAGCCGTGGGAATGGGCGAGACAACAACCGTGACAAGCGGGACTCGTCTGCTGCATCCGGAAAGTCTAAGCAGCTCTACGATCCGGGGTCTCCTAAACCGAACTCGAGCTTTGGGCCGCGGAGGGAGAAGCAGGGCAGTGTCCGAAGGGAGGATGATTCGCAATCGCCGAGGCAGCCGATCCGCAGTCCTCGTGGCCCTGATAGCAGCGGAAGTGGCGGGTTTAGAATGGGCCATAGGGGTGCCCGTGGAGGCTAGACTACGAAAACGAAACAGCTATCCCTTCACCAGGATTGACGCATTGCGCCTGTCTGTGTTGGTGGGACGCGACTCCAGGTCGCTGCTCAGAATAGTATTAAGATGCTAGATGGTATAGCAGTGACCCGCAACAAGCTAGGGAAGGCCCCTTCCGGAGTTGATCGCATTGGCAACCTGGGACGTGTTTGGACGGTTTTCTAAAGACGTCAGCTTGTGATCGCGTTGTATCAGCAATCCACTTACGAGCGTATCGCTCATAACTATCCAGATAGAGCTCATCGGTGCTCGTGGTTGCCTGGATGTGCTCATTGTTCTCAATAGCATCGACCCATGCTCCCCAGCGACTACCAGGCTCCGGGTCTGGCCACCCACGATAAGGCTTCAAGGCGCGGCGCAAGCGGATAACCCAAGGGGCGACCTGGACATCAACGAATGAGATCTGAGTGCCCAGAAAGAACGGGCCCTGCGCATCTGCGGCGCCGACTAGTGTGTTGAATGCATCTCGGAGCTCCTGTGCATTGGCTATTTGCTTCTGAGTGTCTTGCTCTTGAAGAACACGATAGAAGTTTGGGACGATGTGGCGGTTGATCTGTGATTGTCAGAAGTGAAAGGGATGAGAAGCACGGGTGCATACAAAATCTGTCCATAGTCGGCAATGCGCCCTCAGCTTGGCGTCTCCGGGTGGGAGCAACGGTGTCCCAACATTCAGGTCCTCCAACTAAAGCATGTTAGGATTGGATCAAGTTGGTTCAGTGGCAGGGTTAGAGTCATACGTATTCCAGCAATACGGAGCTCTCGTATGAGCCCCAATCCCCGTGCCGCAAGGCTGGAACAAGTCCCCTGGGGTTCACGTCCAGCAATGACTGGGGCTTCTTGTAGGGGTCAACTTCAATATACTGGTAGGGGATTCCCTTGATCTCAAGGGCAACCCATACGCGCTGTACGAAAGGGCTAGCAGTGGTCAGCGCTGGCGATGTATATATGCATATAAACTAGAGTGAACGTACCAAAAGCAACTTCCATACAACTTCAGTTCATTTTCTTGTGAGCGGTGCGCGACTGTCTGGGCAGCCAGGCCGGTGGCTTTGGTATGGTACTGTTTCTGAATTTGAGTTTGGGTAGCCATTACTCTAGTCTGTGCGCGGTGGTGATTAGAAGGAATATTAATCAATCGAGTCCTGACCGCAGAGGGAGCACGCTTGGATATATTGCCAAACAGCAATGATTTCAACACAAGAATGGATCTTCGGAGCATAATGGATGGGAAGAGAAGGTGCAGTTCACGAGCGGGGAAGATAGTTGGCGATAGGCACTTCTCCGCCGAATGACGTAACACGCTTGTGCCAGGATCAATCAAGAAGAAGATAGAAACGAACTTACATTTAGTGATCTCTTCTCCTTCTTCACCTCCTGCAATAAGAACCGCTGCACACTATTCTTCTTCACGCGGTCACTATCCTCCAGCGTATGACGATGACCCCCACTCACACCGTCGTTCTTCCCGTTCGCACCATTCCCATTTACTCGCTGGATAGTAAAATACCTCTGGCCGTTGACCCCTGGATGGCCCTCTGGTAGAGGTGGGTTCAGGCTCGGCGTTAACAACCCAAACTGCTGGCCTTGAGCCTGTTGTTCCTCTCTGACAGCAGACTCCTGGAGTACTGGGCCGGGGACCCCAAGTCCATCAAGGACACCTAGATCTGACCCCATAACATCGTGGCCCGGGAAGTACTCTGTGATCTTGATTTTTACATCACAGAGATCCCGCTGGCGGGCAGTACGCTTACGTTTCTTTTTGTTGGGATCATTAGATTTCGGTGTCCCTGGAGGTCGACCTTTCAGGCGACAGTCCCAGTAGTGGGAAATCAGCGGTTTGCGTTTGTAGTGTTGAGTTGACCGGTGGGAGTAGACGTTGTCGATGTGTGGGAAGTATGTAAGGAATCTGAGACTTGTCAATAAGGGCATTGTATCTCCAGGAAAGTGAAAATACGCACTGCTCCTCACTTAGAGTTATCATCTCATCGACATTGAAAAGCCGTTCTCGCCATGCATCAAGGTTCGGAGGATCAAGAATGGTGCGGATGTCGACATGTTGGTCGGGTCGTTTTACGAGAGATTGAAGATGAGGTTGTTGATGATGGTATTGATGATGAGACTGATGAGCTTGTTGAGTATAGTCAAGCTCTTCAACGGCGCATTGTAGACCGTGGAGCGAGTCATCGTCAATGCCCACTTGGCCTTGTCGGTGGGTTGGAAGTAGGTGCGGGTCCTGGTGGGCAGCTAGGGTCGACGCGTTTTCAGCGACAGAAGTAAGTGAGGGATGAAGGAGAGTCGAAACTGTAGAGTGTAATGTTGTATCAGCTTCGGATGGGAGGGGCGGATGGTCCATTGTGGTGGACACACTGTTTGATATCGAATGCTAGTTAAATGCTGGTGGTGACGCTGCTTTAACAGTGTGGAGGACAAAAAAGGCGGGGGTTGAGGCGGCAATAAAGTTGAGTTCGTTTGAGTTGGTTTCCGGTTTGGCATTAGCGTTGATCGGCGTTTGTTGATCAACGGTGGGCTCTGGTCCAGCCATAAGTGGGCCTTAATATCTAGTATTTTCCTTCAATCCAGATCTACTACGGTTATCATCTTTTTGACTGGCAAGGAATCAATGAGATCTTTTTCAGATTGTGCTTAGCCAAAGCGAAGTCAAGCAACATACCTTA